ATGTTAACTGCAATGCTTAGTAGAAATTATATTCATTTAAATTTTGTGTTATATGATACTGGAAGAGGACAGAACAAGATAAAACACAAACTAAATTGCAAATCTGCAATGCTTCGAAGGACCCATGGGAGGAATGATTTGGGATCATACACAAGAACAACGGCTGGGTTTATTACCTATGCAACAGGTGCGGGCATGTAATACTGTTAGTGGATTTTCCGAAAATATAAATACATATGTACATTCTCAAGCTGGTATTTATACAAATATAGATATCGTTGACTCCTTTCTTTATTGTCATTTAGGTTCTGCTTTTAACACGCAACGTATCTCAACAGGACATGGCAATGGTATGTGCACATATTTATCAGTAACTTACATACCGGGTTATGCGCTGACCAACTTGCTGCGGATCAGCGCAGATAGCTTTGGGATGTAAATGGATAAAGTCTTACGTATCTATTATCGTTTGTCAATTCATGTTATTCTATATTCCATTCAATGAGGCCTCCAAATATACACTAGAATTAGTTGTAGCGAATATCGTTTGCATAATTGTACAGAACAGGAGCAGAACTCTCGCTGGCTGGCGTAGAGGCTGGACACCGTGTGCTTGCCCATAACCAGCCACCTGCTTTTTTGGGAAAGAAGTCCGGCTATGCTGCTGCATACCAATCCATATCAGCCCAAGCCTAAGCCCAATCGTGCGAAAAAACCGTGGATCAGTGGAAACATTGGTAGGGTCATTCTCCTGTGTGTATGTATGTAAATTCATTCGAATAGATGAGCTTGCGCTTAACAGCTCATTTCTTCTCCTCTTCTCCATTTCTCAAAACTAAAACAATTCAAGTGGAGGAAAAAATTAACACCAATTGGCTGCTTGAGGGTTTGATTACGCTTATTTCTCATGTACATATTTATGTAAATATTGTTGTATTCCGTTCATTAATATTCATTTACTTGCAGGACAATGCAGGAAATATGCAGAGTTTGCATGACAAACTCAGGACCATTCACAAATATTTTTGATGAAAAACCCACGTTGGAAACTTGCATTGCTGACATGATAACGCAGTGCACCGGGTACGTGGTTAGGCGAGGCGATTTACTACCAGAAAACATATGTCCGCCCTGCCTCGAGGATGCAGTGAGTGCATTCACCCTTAAGAAAACCTGTGAGCACAGTCATAAACTCTATTTCCCAGTGATGGTGGAGGATATAGAAGAATTTGCCGATACTCTAGATGATGAGGATTGGGAACCGTCAGATATTGAAAGTGAGCAGTCGAAACATTTTGAAAACGATGAAGAGATGAATCAAAATGATAGCAATAACATTGATCAATTTGTACGACCCTTCAAATGCTCCGACTGCACAAAATCCTTTCACCAAAAAGCCCATCTTCAATCACACACCCGTACGCACACAGGTGATCGACCCTACCAATGTTCCTACTGCTCGATGTCGTTTGCACAGAAATACAATCTTGACAGACACACTCGTTCACACACTAATGATCTTTCATACCAGTGCCCTCATTGCTCAAAGTCCTTCATACAAAAATGCAATCTTGAAAAACACACTCGTACTCACACAGGTGATCGACCCTACCAGTGCTCCCACTGTTCGAAGTCATTTCCACAAAAATCCCATCTCCATGTACACAACTGTACGCACGCCATGGAACTGCCGCATATGTGTCCTCACTGCTCTAAGTCATTTTCCCGTTCCGATAGTCTACGGATTCATATCCTCCGGTTGCACACGGATAAACGACCATACAAATGCTCTCACTGCTCGCAGTCATTTCAACAAAAATTTCATCTCCGAGAACACAGCCGTATTCACACTGTGGATACCAAATTTGGTTGCTCTAGCTTTTATAGTCTCTGAGATCTAGGCGCTAATGTTTTACTCTAAGCAAAGCCGCCTATGCTACCTGTGTGTTAGAGAGAGACAGGGCGAGAAAAAATGAAATTGTTTTCTTGATGCTGGCTATAATAGTAATACGATCCAATTCAGATTCTGCAGTCTAAAAGATATGGTCATTCTCTACGATTCTGCGTTTTTTGTTTTCTCGTATCTTTAAAATTGTGGATGCCACAGATTTTCGCCCTTTGTGGGGGCGGAAGTGGGCGGGGCAAAGTTTTGAAATATTTTTGTAGCAGTGACATATCACAGAAGTCTGGATCCAAAACATCGTTGCTCTAGCTCTTATAGTCTTTGAGCATTAGGCGCTGAAGGGGACGGACAGACGGACAGACGGACGGACGGACAGACAGACAGGGCTCAATCAACTCGGCTATTGATGCTGATCAAGAATATATATACTTTATAGGGTCGGAAACGATTCCTTCTGGACGTTACACACATCCACTTTTACCACAAATCTAATATACCCCAATACTCATTTTGAGTATCGGGTATAACGAGGGGGAACGTTGTGAGTTGCTGCGGACACCGCAACTCTACAGTTATACCCGATACTAAGTCAGTATGGCTTTCCTCCGGCAGACGCCGCTAATATTAAACGACACGACAAAGAGTGCGTGCGAGAGAGACAGAAAATCAGTCTGAGCGTGATGTCACGCGCTGCGTAGCCACTGAAAATTGATTTGTTCCTTTTGGCTACAAAAATTATCTGATCTGATCCAGATTCAGCAATCTGATAGATATGGTCGTTATCTATGATTCCCCGTTTTTAGTTTTCTCGAATCTGCAATATTGTGGATGCAACAGATTTTCGTCCTTTGTGTGGGCGGAAGGGGGTGGGGCGAAATTTTGAGATACACGTTTTATAGTGAGATCTAAGAGAAGTGCGGATTCCAAATTTGGTTACTCTAGCGTTAATAGTCTTTGAGATTTGTGAATATCCCCAGATTTGCATCCTTTGCGGGGGCGGAAGGGGGTGTGGCGAAATTTTGAAACAAACTCGTCTCGGTCTGATATATTAGGAGTGTGGATACCAAATTTGGTTGCTCTAGCTTTTATAGTCTCTGAGATCTAGGCGCTAATGTTTTACTCTAAGCAAAGCCGCCTATGCTACCTGTGTGTTAGAGAGAGACAGGGCGAGAAAAAATGAAATTGTTTTCTTGATGCTGGCTATAATAGTAATACGATCCAATTCAGATTCTGCAGTCTAAAAGATATGGTCATTCTCTACGATTCTGCGTTTTTTGTTTTCTCGTATCTTTAAAATTGTGGATGCCACAGATTTTCGCCCTTTGTGGGGGCGGAAGTGGGCGGGGCAAAGTTTTGAAATATTTTTGTAGCAGTGACATATCACAGAAGTCTGGATCCAAAACATCGTTGCTCTAGCTCTTATAGTCTTTGAGCATTAGGCGCTGAAGGGGACGGACAGACGGACAGACGGACAGACACACATGGCTCAATCGACTCGGCTATTGATGCTGATCAAGAATATATATACTTTATGGGGTCGGAAACGATTCCTTCTGGACGTTACACACATCCACTTTTACCACAAATCTAATATACCCCAATACTCATTTTGAGTATCGGGTATAAAAACGAACCCACTGTGCGGCTTTTATTAATTGCAAAAATGTAGTTTGGATGTTTCCTTGGCACGAATTAGTTTGTTTTGACCACAAAAAATAATAATTAGAGCTGTTAGACGCGAATTGTAGCACGACAAATTTATGTTATGCGAAAAGCCACAAAAAGTGCTGCTTGGCGCTAAAGGTATCGAAATAGTTTATGTTAACTGCAATGCTTAGTAGAAATTATATTCATTTAAATTTTGTGTTATATGATACTGGAAGAGGACAGAACAAGATAAAACACAAACTAAATTGCAAATCTGCAATGCTTCGAAGGACCCATGGGAGGAATGATTTGGGATCATACACAAGAACAACGGCTGGGTTTATTACCTATGCAACAGGTGCGGGCATGGAATACTGTTAGTGGATTTTCCGAAAATATAAATACATATGTACATTCTCAAGCTGGTATTTATACAAATATAGATATCGTTGACTCCTTTCTTTATTGTCATTTAGGTTCTGCTTTTAACACGCAACGTATCTCAACAGGACATGGCAATGGTATGTGCACATATTTATCAGTAACTTACATACCGGGTTATGCGCTGACCAACTTGCTGCGGATCAGCGCAGATAGCTTTGGGATGTAAATGGATAAAGTCTTACGTATCTATTATCGTTTGTCAATTCATGTTATTCTATATTCCATTCAATGAGGCCTCCAAATATACACTAGAATTAGTTGTAGCGAATATCGTTTGCATAATTGTACAGAACAGGAGCAGAACTCTCGCTGGCTGGCGTAGAGGCTGGACACCGTGTGCTTGCCCATAACCAGCCACCTGCTTTTTTGGGAAAGAAGTCCGGCTATGCTGCTGCATACCAATCCATATCAGCCCAAGCCTAAGCCCAATCGTGCGAAAAAAACCGTGGATCAGTGGAAACATTGGTAGGGTCATTCTCCTGTGTGCGTACATTCGATAACACAACATACATATGTATGTAAATTCATTCGAATAGATGAGCTTGCGCTTAACAGCTCATTTCTTCTCCTCTTCTCCATTTCTCAAAACTAAAACAATTCAAGTGGAGGAAAAAATTAACACCAATTGGCTGCTTGAGGGTTTGATTACGCTTATTTCTCATGTACATATTTATGTAAATATTGTTGTATTCCGTTCATTAATATTCATTTACTTGCAGGACAATGCAGGAAATATGCAGAGTTTGCATGACAAACTCAGGACCATTCACAAATATTTTTGATGAAAGACCCACGTTGGAAACTTGCATTGCTGACATGATAACGCAGTGCACCGGGTACGTGGTTAGGCGAGGCGATTTACTACCAGAAAACATATGTCCGCCCTGCCTCGAGGATGCAGTGAGTGCATTCACCCTTAAGAAAACCTGTGAGCACAGTCATAAACTCTATTTCCCAGTGATGGTGGAGGATATAGAAGAATTTGCCGATACTCTAGATGATGAGGATTGGGAACCGTCAGATATTGAAAGTGAGCAGTCGAAACATTTTGAAAACGATGAAGAGATGAATCAAAATGATAGCAATAACATTGATCAATTTGTACGACCCTTCAAATGCTCCGACTGCACAAAATCCTTTCACCAAAAAGCCCATCTTAAATCACACACCCGTACGCACACAGGTGATCGACCCTACCAATGTTCCTACTGCTCGATGTCGTTTGCACAGAAATACAATCTTGACAGACACACTCGTTCACACACTAATGATCTTTCATACCAGTGCCCTCATTGCTCAAAGTCCTTCATACAAAAATGCAATCTTGAAAAACACACTCGTACTCACACAGGTGATCGACCCTACCAGTGCTCCCACTGTTCGAAGTCATTTCCACAAAAATCCCATCTCCATGTACACAACTGTACGCACGCCATGGAACTGCCGCATATGTGTCCTCACTGCTCTAAGTCATTTTCCCGTTCCGATAGTCTACGGATTCATATCCTCCGGTTGCACACGGATAAACGACCATACAAATGCTCTCACTGCTCGCAGTCATTTCAACAAAAATTTCATCTCCGAGAACACAGCCGTATTCACACTGGCGAACGGCCGCATAGATGCTCTTACTGCTCAAAGTCTTTTAAACAAAAATCAAAGCTTGATAGACACACTCTTACTCACACAGGGGAACGACCCTACCAATGCACTCAGTGCTCGAAGTCATTTCAGGAAAAGTCGAATCTCCAGGTACACCTCCGTTCTCACAAGTGCATCCACTGCTCAAAGACTTTTAGATACAGAAACAGTAGCTACCAAAGACACATACTAACTCACAAAAGCAACGACAACTGTGCCATTCCGTCATTCTTCGAGATCACATCCGTAAGAACGTTGAGAATGGAAGATTCTATTGCTCCTACTGCTCCAACCCTGGACCGTAATTATTCTAAGCATGACTTCTATGACTTAAATAAATTATGTATGTATGTAGATCAGAGGTCGGCTTAAAATGTTAATTCCAATAAAATATTATAAACGAGGGGGAACGTTGTGAGTTGCTGCGGACACCGCAACTCTACAGTTATACCCGATACTAAGTCAGTATGGCTTTCCTCCGGCAGACGCCGCTAATATTAAACGACACGACAAAGAGTGCGTGCGAGAGAGACAGAAAATCAGTCTGAGCGTGATGTCACGCGCTGCGTAGCCACTGCAAATTGATTTGTTCCTTTTGGCTACAAAAATTATCTGATCTGATCCAGATTCAGCAATCTGATAGATATGGTCGTTATCTATGATTCCCCGTTTTTAGTTTTCTCGAATCTGCAATATTGTGGATGCAACAGATTTTCGTCCTTTGTGTGGGCGGAAGGGGGTGGGGCGAAATTTTGAGATACACGTTTTATAGTGAGATCTAAGAGAAGTGCGGATTCCAAATTTGGTTACTCTAGCGTTAATAGTCTCTGAGATTTGTGAATATCCCCAGATTTGCATCCTTTGCGGGGGCGGAAGGGGGTGTGGCGAAATTTTGAAACAAACTCGTCTCGGTCCGATATATTAGGAGTGTGGATACCAAATTTGGTTGCTCTAGCTTTTATAGTCTCTGAGATCTAGGCGCTAATGTTTTACTCTAAGCAAAGCCGCCTATGCTACGTGTGTGTTAGAGAGAGACAGGGCGAGAAAAAATGAAATTGTTTTCTTGATGCTGGCTATAATAGTAATACGATCCAATTCAGATTCTGCAGTCTAAAAGATATGGTCATTCTCTACGATTCTGCGTTTTTTGTTTTCTCGTATCTTTAAAATTGTGGATGCCACAGATTTTCGCCCTTTGTGGGGGCGGAAGTGGGCGGGGCAAAGTTTTGAAATATTTTTGTAGCAGTGACATATCACAGAAGTCTGGATCCAAAACATCGTTGCTCTAGCTCTTATAGTCTTTGAGCATTAGGCGCTGAAGGGGACGGACAGACGGACAGACGGACGGATGAGTATCGGGTATAAAAAATTACAGTTAAGGGGAATAACATAATTGAACATATAAAATTCATAGATAGCGCTTAAAGATCTTGTTCTGCAGTAGGAGCGATCGTATCATCCTCTCTCAGCGTTCTTACGGCTGTGATCTCGAAGAGTGATGGAATGGCACAGTTGTCGTTGCTTGTGTGCGTTAGTATGTGTCTTTGGTAGCTACTGTTTCTGTATCTAAAAGTCTTTGAGCAGTGGATGCACTTGTGAGAACGGAGGTGTACCTGGAGATTCGACTTTTCCTGAAATGACTTCGAGCACTGAGTGCATTGGTAGGGTCGTTCCCCTGTGTGAGTAAGATTGTGTCTATCAAGCTTTGATTTTTGTTTAAAAGACTTTGAGCAGTAAGAACACCTGAACGGTCGTTCGCCAGTGTGAATCCGGGTGTGTTCTCGGAGATGAGATTTTTGTTGAAATGACTGCGAGCAGTGAGAACATTTGTATGGTCGTTCACCCGTGTGTGTACAAATGTGAATATGTAGAGGTTCTTCCTTGCTAAACGATTTGTAGCAGTGAGGACATTGGTAAGGTCGTTCACCCGTGTGCGATCGGATATGAATCCGGAGACTATCGGATCGAGCAAATGACTTGGAGCAGTGTGTACACTTGTGCGGCAGCTCCACAGTGTGAATACAGGTGTGTTCGTTGAGCTCGGAATTTTTTGTAAGCGACTGAAAGCAGTGAGAGCACTGGTGGGGTCTAATTGACAGCGGGCAGTCAGGAAATTTGTGTGTTCGTTCGTCTGAGTGAATAAGGATGTGTTTTTCATGACTGGATTTTTCTTTGAAGGACTTTAAACATTGGCAGCATTCGTAGCTTCGTTTATCTGTGTGCGTACGGGTGTGTCTATCAAGGCATGATTTTTGTATAAAAGACATCGAACAGTGGGAACAATGGTAGGGTCGTTCTCCTGTGTGCGTACGGGTGTGCGTTTGAAGAGTGTATTTTAGTCGAAATGACTTTGAGCATTCGGAGCATTTGTAGGGTCGATCATCTGTGTGCGTACGGATGTGAGTCTGTAGAGTTCTTTTCACGGAAAATGACTTGGAGCAGTGAGGACATTGGTAAGGTCGTTGATTCTTATGCAAACGGATATGAACTCTAAGACTTTCGTTTTGGGCAAAGGAACACTTATACGGTTGCTCACCAGTGTGTGTAAGGATGTGCTCTTTGAGTTTGATATTTTGTGTAAATGACATCGGGCAGTGAGAGCACTTGTAAGGTCGTTCACCTGTGTGGGAACGTGTGTGTATTTGAAGATGGGCGAGTTTTATAAATGATATGGAGCACTGGGAGCACTTATAAGGTGGATTCCCCATGTGCGTACGGGTGTGTCTTTTAAGATTCGATTTTTCTGTAAAAGACATCAAACAGTGGGAACATTGGTAGGGTCGTTCTCCTGAGTGAGTACGCGTGTGTGTTTGAAGGTTGCATTTTAGCCGAAATGATTTTGAGCAGCTGGAACATTTGTAGGGTCTGTCCATAATATCCGTCTTATTTTTGTTAATCCATAACTTGGTGTATCTCTTCATCGGTTTCTAATTGGTTCGATTGCTCATTTTCAATGTCTGAGGGTTCCCAATCCCCGCCTTCCAAATTGTCTTCTTCTCTATCGTCTTCCATCAGTGTTAAAAAGAGTGTATGGCTCTGCTCACATGTTTTTATAAGATTGAATGCATTTACAGCATCCTCAAGGCAAGGCGGACATATGTTTTCTGGTAGTAAATCGCCTCGGCTAACCGCGTACCCAGTGCACTGTGATATCATGTCAGCAATGCAAGTGTCCCATGTGTGTGTCTCATCAAAAATATTTGTGAATGGTCCGGAGTTTGCCCTGCAAACTCTGCATATTTCCTCCATAGTCCTGCAAGTAAATTACTATTATATATAAATAATACAGGACGCGCCATTGCATGCAGGAATGCATCGAATATTGAACAAAACGAGGGGGAACGTTGTGAGTTGCTGCGGACACCGCAACTCTACAGTTATACCCGATACTAAGTCAGTATGGCTTTCCTCCGGCAGACGCCGCTAATATTAAACGACACGACAAAGAGTGCGTGCGAGAGAGACAGAAAATCAGTCTGAGCGTGATGTCACGCGCTGCGTAGCCACTGAAAATTGATTTGTTCCTTTTGGCTACAAAAATTATCTGATCTGATCCAGATTCAGCAATCTGATAGATATGGTCGTTATCTATGATTCCCCGTTTTTAGTTTTCTCGAATCTGCAATATTGTGGATGCAACAGATTTTCGTCCTTTGTGTGGGCGGAAGGGGGTGGGGCGAAATTTTGAGATACACGTTTTATAGTGAGATCTAAGAGAAGTGCGGATTCCAAATTTGGTTACTCTAGCGTTAATAGTCTTTGAGATTTGTGAATATCCCCAGATTTGCATCCTTTGCGGGGGCGGAAGGGGGTGTGGCGAAATTTTGAAACAAACTCGTCTCGGTCTGATATATTAGGAGTGTGGATACCAAATTTGGTTGCTCTAGCTTTTATAGTCTCTGAGATCTAGGCGCTAATGTTTTACTCTAAGCAAAGCCGCCTATGCTACCTGTGTGTTAGAGAGAGACAGGGCGAGAAAAAATGAAATTGTTTTCTTGATGCTGGCTATAATAGTAATACGATCCAATTCAGATTCTGCAGTCTAAAAGATATGGTCATTCTCTACGATTCTGCGTTTTTTGTTTTCTCGTATCTTTAAAATTGTGGATGCCACAGATTTTCGCCCTTTGTGGGGGCGGAAGTGGGCGGGGCAAAGTTTTGAAATATTTTTGTAGCAGTGACATATCACAGAAGTCTGGATCCAAAACATCGTTGCTCTAGCTCTTATAGTCTTTGAGCATTAGGCGCTGAAGGGGACGGACAGACGGACAGACGGACAGACACACATGGCTCAATCGACTCGGCTATTGATGCTGATCAAGAATATATATACTTTATGGGGTCGGAAACGATTCCTTCTGGACGTTACACACATCCACTTTTACCACAAATCTAATATACCCCAATACTCATTTTGAGTATCGGGTATAAAAACGAACCCACTGTGCGGCTTTTATTAATTGCAAAAATGTAGTTTGGATGTTTCCTTGGCACGAATTAGTTTGTTTTGACCACAAAAAATAATAATTAGAGCTGTTAGACGCGAATTGTAGCACGACAAATTTATGTTATGCGAAAAGCCACAAAAAGTGCTGCTTGGCGCTAAAGGTATCGAAATAGTTTATGTTAACTGCAATGCTTAGTAGAAATTATATTCATTTAAATTTTGTGTTATATGATACTGGAAGAGGACAGAACAAGATAAAACACAAACTAAATTGCAAATCTGCAATGCTTCGAAGGACCCATGGGAGGAATGATTTGGGATCATACACAAGAACAACGGCTGGGTTTAGTACCTATGCAACAGGTGCGGGCATGGAATACTGTTAGTGGATTTTCCGAAAATATAAATACATATGTACATTCTCAAGCTGGTATTTATACAAATATAGATATCGTTGACTCCTTTCTTTATTGTCATTTAGGTTCTGCTTTTAACACGCAACGTATCTCAACAGGACATGGCAATGGTATGTGCACATATTTATCAGTAACTTACATACCGGGTTATGCGCTGACCAACTTGCTGCGGATCAGCGCAGATAGCTTTGGGATGTAAATGGATAAAGTCTTACGTATCTATTATCGTTTGTCAATTCATGTTATTCTATATTCCATTCAATGAGGCCTCCAAATATACACTAGAATTAGTTGTAGCGAATATCGTTTGCATAATTGTACAGAACAGGAGCAGAACTCTCGCTGGCTGGCGTAGAGGCTGGACACCGTGTGCTTGCCCATAACCAGCCACCTGCTTTTTTGGGAAAGAAGTCCGGCTATGCTGCTGCATACCAATCCATATCAGCCCAAGCCTAAGCCCAATCGTGCGAAAAAACCGTGGATCAGTGGAAACATTGGTAGGGTCATTCTCCTGTGTGCGTACATTCGATAACACAACATACATATGTATGTAAATTCATTCGAATAGATGAGCTTGCGCTTAACAGCTCATTTCTTCTCCTCTTCTCCATTTCTCAAAACTAAAACAATTCAAGTGGAGGAAAAAATTAACACCAATTGGCTGCTTGAGGGTTTGATTACACTTATTTCTCATGTACATATTTATGTAAATATTGTTGTATTCCGTTCATTAATATTCATTTACTTGCAGGACAATGCAGGAAATATGCAGAGTTTGCATGACAAACTCAGGACCATTCACAAATATTTTTGATGAAAGACCCACGTTGGAAACTTGCATTGCTGACATGATAACGCAGTGCACCGGGTACGTGGTTAGGCGAGGCGATTTACTACCAGAAAACATATGTCCGCCCTGCCTCGAGGATGCAGTGAGTGCATTCACCCTTAAGAAAACCTGTGAGCACAGTCATAAACTCTATTTCCCAGTGATGGTGGAGGATATAGAAGAATTTGCCGATACTCTAGATGATGAGGATTGGGAACCGTCAGATATTGAAAGTGAGCAGTCGAAACATTTTGAAAACGATGAAGAGATGAATCAAAATGATAGCAATAACATTGATCAATTTGTACGACCCTTCAAATGCTCCGACTGCACAAAATCCTTTCACCAAAAAGCCCATCTTCAATCACACACCCGTACGCACACAGGTGATCGACCCTACCAATGTTCCTACTGCTCGATGTCGTTTGCACAGAAATACAATCTTGACAGACACACTCGTTCACACACTAATGATCTTTCATACCAGTGCCCTCATTGCTCAAAGTCCTTCATACAAAAATGCAATCTTGAAAAACACACTCGTACTCACACAGGTGATCGACCCTACCAGTGCTCCCACTGTTCGAAGTCATTTCCACAAAAATCCCATCTCCATGTACACAACTGTACGCACGCCATGGAACTGCCGCATATGTGTCCTCACTGCTCTAAGTCATTTTCCCGTTCCGATAGTCTACGGATTCATATCCTCCGGTTGCACACGGATAAACGACCATACAAATGCTCTCACTGCTCGCAGTCATTTCAACAAAAATTTCATCTCCGAGAACACAGCCGTATTCACACTGGCGAACGGCCGCATAGATGCTCTTACTGCTCAAAGTCTTTTAAACAAAAATCAAAGCTTGATAGACACACTTTTACTCACACAGGGGAACGACCCTACCAATGCACTCAGTGCTCGAAGTCATTTCAGGAAAAGTCGAATCTCCAGGTACACCTCCGTTCTCACAAGTGCATCCACTGCTCAAAGACTTTTAGATACAGAAACAGTAGCTACCAAAGACACATACTAACTCACAAAAGCAACGACAACTGTGCCATTCCGTCATTCTTCGAGATCACATCCGTAAGAACGTTGAGAATGGAAGATTCTATTGCTCCTACTGCTCCAACCCTGGACCGTAATTATTCTAAGCATGACTTCTATGACTTAAATAAATTATGTATGTATGTAGATCAGAGGTCGGCTTAAAATGTTAATTCCAATAAAATATTATAAACGAGGGGGAACGTTGTGAGTTGCTGCGGACACCGCAACTCTACAGTTATACCCGATACTAAGTCAGTATGGCTTTCCTCCGGCAGACGCCGCTAATATTAAACGACACGACAAAGAGTGCGTGCGAGAGAGACAGAAAATCAGTCTGAGCGTGATGTCACGCGCTGCGTAGCCACTGCAAATTGATTTGTTCCTTTTGGCTACAAAAATTATCTGATCTGATCCAGATTCAGCAATCTGATAGATATGGTCGTTATCTATGATTCCCCGTTTTTAGTTTTCTCGAATCTGCAATATTGTGGATGCAACAGATTTTCGTCCTTTGTGTGGGCGGAAGGGGGTGGGGCGAAATTTTGAGATACACGTTTTATAGTGAGATCTAAGAGAAGTGCGGATTCCAAATTTGGTTACTCTAGCGTTAATAGTCTCTGAGATTTGTGAATATCCCCAGATTTGCATCCTTTGCGGGGGCGGAAGGGGGTGTGGCGAAATTTTGAAACAAACTCGTCTCGGTCCGATATATTAGGAGTGTGGATACCAAATTTGGTTGCTCTAGCTTTTATAGTCTCTGAGATCTAGGCGCTAATGTTTTACTCTAAGCAAAGCCGCCTATGCTACGTGTGTGTTAGAGAGAGACAGGGCGAGAAAAAATGAAATTGTTTTCTTGATGCTGGCTATAATAGTAATACGATCCAATTCAGATTCTGCAGTCTAAAAGATATGGTCATTCTCTACGATTCTGCGTTTTTTGTTTTCTCGTATCTTTAAAATTGTGGATGCCACAGATTTTCGCCCTTTGTGGGGGCGGAAGTGGGCGGGGCAAAGTTTTGAAATATTTTTGTAGCAGTGACATATCACAGAAGTCTGGATCCAAAACATCGTTGCTCTAGCTCTTATAGTCTTTGAGCATTAGGCGCTGAAGGGAACGGACAGACGGACAGACAGACATGGCTCAATCGACTCGGCTATTGATGCTGATCAAGAATATATATACTTTATGGGGTCGGAAACGATTCCTTCTGGACGTTACACACATCCACTTTTACCACAAATCTAATATACCCCAATACTCATTTTGGGTATCAGGTATAAAAACGAACCCACTGTGCGGCTTTTATTAATTGCAAAAATGTAGTTTGGATGTTTCCTTGGCACGAATTAGTTTGTTTTGACCACAAAAAATAATAATTAGAGCTGTTAGACGCGAATTGTAGCACGACAAATTTATGTTATGCGAAAAGCCACAAAAAGTGCTGCTTGGCGCTAAAGGTATCGAAATAGTTTATGTTAACTGCAATGCTTAGTAGAAATTATATTCATTTAAATTTTGTGTTATATGATACTGGAAGAGGACAGAACAAGATAAAACACAAACTAAATTGCAAATCTGCAATGCTTCGAAGGACCCATGGGAGGAATGATTTGGGATCATACACAAGAACAACGGCTGGGTTTAGTACCTATGCAACAGGTGCGGGCATGGAATACTGTTAGTGGATTTTCCGAAAATATAAATACATATGTACATTCTCAAGCTGGTATTTATACAAATATAGATATCGTTGACTCCTTTCTTTATTGTCATTTAGGTTCTGCTTTTAACACGCAACGTATCTCAACAGGACATGGCAATGGTATGTGCACATATTTATCAGTAACTTACATACCGGGTTATGCGCTGACCAACTTGCTGCGGATCAGCGCAGATAGCTTTGGGATGTAAATGGATAAAGTCTTACGTATCTATTATCGTTTGTCAATTCATGTTATTCTATATTCCATTCAATGAGGCCTCCAAATATACACTAGAATTAGTTGTAGCGAATATCGTTTGCATAATTGTACAGAACAGGAGCAGAACTCTCGCTGGCTGGCGTAGAGGCTGGACACCGTGTGCTTGCCCATAACCAGCCACCTGCTTTTTTGGGAAAGAAGTCCGGCTATGCTGCTGCATACCAATCCATATCAGCCCAAGCCTAAGCCCAATCGTGCGAAAAAACCGTGGATCAGTGGAAACATTGGTAGGGTCATTCTCCTGTGTGCGTACATTCGATAACACAACATACATATGTATGTAAATTCATTCGAATAGATGAGCTTGCGCTTAACAGCTCATTTCTACTCCTCTTCTCCATTTCTCAAAACTAAAACAATTCAAGTGGAGGAAAAAATTAACACCAATTGGCTGCTTGAGGGTTTGATTACGCTTATTTCTCATGTACATATTTATGTAAATATTGTGGTATTCCGTTCATTAATATTCATTTACTTGCAGGACAATGCAGGAAATATGCAGAGTTTGCATGACAAACTCAGGACCATTCACAAATATTTTTGATGAAAGACCCACGTTGGAAACTTGCATTGCTGACATGATAACGCAGTGCACCGGGTACGTGGTTAGGCGAGGCGATTTACTACCAGAAAACATATGTCCGCCCTGCCTCGAGGATGCAGTGAGTGCATTCACCCTTAAGAAAACCTGTGAGCACAGTCATAAACTCTATTTCCCAGTGATGGTGGAGGATATAGAAGAAT